TATAGATTTTGGGTTTTTTGGGCAGGTTGAGTGAGAAGCTTATTTTGGATGTGACTTTAAATGCAGTTGCATCATATTTTGTCCCTTCACAATTCCCTTTGTTAATTTCATTTTAATTCAATGGGTATTAAGCACCTATTCTGAGGATACAGGAGTGATTAAGACACAAATATGTCATGGTCTAGCAGGAATAACAAATGCAAGCAAACGTGTACCACGATGCGTGACAGGTGCTCTTTTAGAAGGAGAATACACAATTTGTATGAAGCAGATATCACTGTTCTTCATTTTCTTACCAAATATTTTTTGTGATCATTTTGTGTTATTTTATTGACAAGTAAATAAAATCTCAGAGTGATTAAATGATGTACTTGGAGTCACACAGCAAGTGAGTGACTGGGCAGGAATTCTCTCCCAGGGGAGTTAAATCTACTAAACTTAGCTCAGGCATCAGGATGTGACCACTTTGGGGTTGACCTCTGTCTCTGTGTTTGCCAACTGGCACCAGCTTTTTAAACTCAGTCGCAGCTACATGGCTTTAATTAACATCCGTTCACCTATCCATTCATTTATTCATTCAGAATATTGAACATCTGTTATATGCAATCAAACCAGGAAGGTCCTGAAATGAATAGATGGTGGTCTGTAGCAAGCTGTAATTTCAGAGGCTTCAAAGCACAGAGCACTGGGGAGAGAAATAAGGATCAGATGATTCTGTCTTATCGTGCCTACTTACCTTGAAGTCTTTTGAAGTCCAAGTGCACCACACTCCGCCTTTTATGATTTTTATCTGCTTTGTTAAAATGTTATTTAAAGGACGACTTTGTATCTCTATCTAAACAATCACCAAATTTAAGTCACCATTAGCTTATTACAAAAACATGTGGAGAGAGAATTGCAACTCAATCTGTCTCTGCCATTTGCTCTTCTTATCTCTGGTGCCCAAATATTATTTCTTTGAAAACACAAAATTTTGCCTTTGCTTCTCTTCTTACAGTGATTCCCTAGCTGGCTGCTTTCTAGTTTTGTAAAGGGCCCTTGTTTGTATCAATAAATCTCAAGCATCACTCATTTGTGCTTTGAAGTATTTTCAGTGGCCGAAGAGTAATCGTAAGTATGGAGAGTAAAAAAAAGAGTTTAACAGAAGGAGTGATTTAAAAGCATACAATTTTAAATTATCAAGCACAAGAGAATAAACTCTACCTGCTAGTTTAACATGCCTGAACGGGACTCTGTAGAGACCGTTCATTCTGCCTCACTCTGACATTTTTGAATCTGCAAGTGTCAGAGGAGATTTGCTGCAGTTCTGGAGCCCTTGACAAGAATCCACAGCACATCACACAGCAATGATGGTGACAAATAACATATAAAGTGTCTTGGTGCAAAAGGAATCAGGGAAAAAAAAAGAGATGCAGCCTACCAATATTCAGAGCATATACATACATTGGGGAACCTCAGAACTATTCCTAAGACAAACTTGGTATCGAAACATTTAAAAGTGGCAAATCCTATCTGATTGGTGCTGGAAGAAGAGTTGGTGGAATCCATGGGCTTATTCAATTAGGCCCGGCTGGCAGACTCATATCACAAGCAAAGGGCATACCACGGCCTGTCTCCACCTGCTGCCATGGCTGGGATTTTTAACTGCTATGATGTGTCAAAGGGATCACACATATCTTAAAAAGGAGATGAAACTGAACAAAGAACGGCTTCCTTCTGAGTTACTGAAACTACTTTGTGAACATGAATGTTCAGTAGCAGAAAGTACAACTTTGGAAAACCAAAGCACCCACATAATCACTGAGATGAATTATAATGTAGTTCCCTATCCCTGGGCTCTCTAGACTGAAATTTTAGCATATTTGGAAATAATGATTTTTAGAACTTCCTTGATAGTTTTTGCCCCAAGATAAAGCAGATCAAGTATTCAGTACCTATTTGATCCTGTGACATAGCTCATATTCAGTGAGGAGAATACACATGGGCTCAGGATTTTTATACCTGCAAGGTGTGGGCTTGTTTCCTAATCTATCTAAGCCATACTGTCCTCATCTGTAAAGTGGGGATGATAAAACCCTTCTTTTTATTGTGAAGCCTTAATGAGAAAATGAGAAGTGCTTAATGTAGTTACCTAGAAGATGGTATTCATTATCAACTATTATTAGATAAAAAGTTTTTTGGAGAGTTGTGTGTGCTATAATATGGAGTTTGGTGGAAGAGGTTAAGTATGCTTTGAATGATTATTGTATTAAAATATTTCATTTATAGTCTATCCTACTCACATGTGTAACAGTGGCCTTATTTTGATGTGGTCTGAGAGAGATGTGCAAACAGTTTTAAGGGAAATATATTTGTTCTAATTTTCCAAACAGGAGTTCTTGGATTCCCTATGAATTCCTTCACCACATAATAATGGTATGCATCTTTTGGGAATGATTACACCTACCTTTAAAGAATTGCTTTATGATTTTTGGAGCATTTTATGGTTTGCTTTATGGTTTTCAGCATAACTTATAATTCCTTATTAATTTTTCTTTATGAGTTGAATCCATTTTTCCAAGTGTTGGTAGACAACCTGGGAGTGTTAATCTGAGCCTAGGTAAGCACTTTTTTCAAGGTCAAAGAACAAGTGTTTGAACAGAATGAACTGGCTGAGCTTTTAGTAAATTGGCATGACAATTCTCTCTGCCTCAGAGGTAAGGGGCTTCTTTGAGCAAGGGGTAAATCTCTGTGACTGAAAACAGTGGTGTTTAAAGTATGGATGAGAACCTGCGGGAATCCCCAAGACCTTTCAAGGGGCCTACAAGCCTCAATGTTCTCCTTTTTCCCACTATAGATCTACCTGAGGCCAGATCTTTAAATACTTTGACCAAAACAACATATCACAGCAGATTGAATGGAAACACAAATGTGAGAATCTAGGGGTCTTCTATTAAGCCAGACATTTAAAAAGCTTCACAAAAATGTAAAGCAATGCCACTACTCTCGGGCTCAGTGGCTCAGCCTGTAATCCCATGCCTTGGGAGGCTAAGGTGAGTGGATTGCCTGAGCCCGTGAGTTCGAGACCCGCCTGGGCAACTTGGTGAGACCTCATCTCTACAATAAATTAAAAAAATTAGCCGGTAATTTTTTGGTAGCGCACACCTGTAATCCCAGCTACTTAGAGGGCTGAGGCGGAAGGATCGCCGGAGCCCCAGCAGATCGAGGCTGTGGTGGCCGGGAGCGGCCACTGCACTCCAGTCTGGGAGATCAACTCAAAAAAAAAAAAATTTTTTTTTATGTTTTGAAAATATAGTAACTTTTTTTTTGAGTTGGGAGTCTCACTCTGTTACCCAGACTGAAGTACAGTGGCACAATCACAGTTCACTGCAGCTGCAACCTCCTGAGCTCAAGCAATCCTTCCTTTTCAGTCTCCTGAATATCTGGGGCTACAGGCACACACCACCATGCCCAGCTAATTTCTTTGTAAAGACGAGGTTTCACTATGTTGCCTAGGCTAGTCTTGAACTCCCAGACTCAAGCAATCCTCCCCCCTTAGTCTCCCAGAATTCTGGGATTACAAACATGAACCAGTACACCTGGCCAAAAATATAGTGATTTTTAATAAAAATACTGTACTTATGCTAACATGTAATAAGTTTAATATTTTAAATGAATTAATAGATCTATTTTTAAGTTTTTAATATGGTATGTATCAGTAGATAGAACCCATATCAACAAAAACTTTTGGGGGTTCTCAATAGTTTTTTAAAGTGTAAAGGGGTCTTGAGATCAAAACATTGTGAATCATTGCCCTACAGATGTTGGCTTCTACTTTGGGGTTTGAAATGTTTACATTCGCTGGCAGTTCTCAGACTCTTTTCTAGAATCAATGAACTCCTACATACTACTGTATGTGAAAAATGTTAAGATGAGAATCCCTTATTTCTTTTTCTCTGGGAAAGGAAATGATCCCACAGGGGCTGAGCACTGTCCTTCCTCCCTGACTAGATGCTTTGTTGTTCAGATGGCTCTAGTGGGCTAGCAAAGAGAGTTAGGGGACTTCTCTTCAGAACATCACCAGGAAATCTGATACCTGGGAGTCAGGGGACTTGAGGAGTGGAAGTTATTCTCATTTATTAACACATTAACATAGATTTGTAGCCGGGCTCGGTGGCTCAGCCTGTAATCCCACGCCTTTGGGAGGCTGAGGTGAGTGGATTGCCTGAGCCCCCGGGTTCGAGACCCGCCTGGGCAGCAAGACCTCATCTCTACAATAAATCAAAAAATCAGCTGGGCATGGTAGCGTACATCTGTAATTCTGGCTACTTGGAAGGCTGAGGCGGAAAGATCCCCGGAGTCTGGGCAACGGAGTGAGACTCCAACACACACACACACACACAAAAAACAGGGCCAAAGCCCTTTCCTCTCTTTTACATTTTTATATCATCTTGGCCATGAGCAAAAGAGAAAGTCAATAAGAGAGAGAACAATGGGGAAAAGAGAAGACTAGTGGAAATGGCCCAGGGAACGAGATACTACCACACTATCAAAAGCTACTCAGGTCTCAATTCTGCAGCTGTGATCTCTCCAACACCTGAAACCAGTGGTTATAACACTCCTGGCAAACACTCTGGGCTATACTCTTGTTTCTTAGCCCTGGAAGGGCTTAGCCCATGTTGCTATTATTTGCCATCAGACTTTGCTGAATGTGTAGGCTTTAAGATGCTATGTAGGTTGGTTGAAATTGAAGGGCATATTACTTAAGGTGTGACAAAAATGGTGATCGGTGTGTACCAATGTGGACAAAGAAAGATGGTGATTTTGTTTTCGAACATGATCAGCTTGACAGACTGCACCCAGGTAGAGCTCTCCAATATGCAATTAAAAATAATGTTCTGGATCTTAGGAGAGAGGTTGTAGCTGGATGTGTTGCTTTGGAAATCATCATCATACAGAGATGATCAAAGCCGTGGATAGATGAGATGATTTTAGTGACTATTTCTTTTTTGCTTCTTCAGTTCTTCCATGTGGCCTACGTTTTAATCAAATTTGCAAACTCGCCTCGCCCTGATCTTTGGGTCTTGGAAAGATCTGTAGACTTTGGAAGCACCTACTCACCATGGCAATATTTTGCTCGTAAGTAATCTTGCCTACCATGTTATTAGTGGCTTTAATTATTTGCAACAGATCAAGGCTATGGATTTAATTAGAAAATTAGTCTCTATATGACTAGTTGGGAGCTGGTCAATTTTAGCCTCATGAGTTACTCTCAGAACATTTCTCAAGCAGGTGTTCAGGATTTCCAAGGATACCACGTACAGAACTGAAGTTGAAACTCCTTTTATGATAACAGTTCTTGCCACTCGTTGGGAATACTTTTAACTGGGCCAGAACTCCAGTCTTTTTTCTTTTATGTACAATTAGAAACCAAGCTCCTTCTTTATATATCCCGAGTTGTGCATCACTTGACCTTGTTATCGTCACTAATGAAGAATGTCTATGTCTCTGAACCCTGTGATGAATGGAGGTAGATCGGAATTTTGCTTATGAAGGCATCGGGTTTTCGGGAAGTCTCTTTAGAGGGTGTATGTGCTTAACTAGGAGTGAAGAGTTAGCACCACATCCCCAAATGTTGCCCCTGAAAGTCAAGTGGCCTGAAGTGGCTTGATATTTTCTTTCATAAATTAAAAACTCCACTCTCAGCTTGTTCTCTTTTCATGTATTTTCTTAAGACAATATAAGGTTACTTAAGAGATTTGTAGCAAAATAGTAATATTTTATGTTATAAAGTTCAATTTTTTTCTCCTAGATTCTAAAGTAGACTGTTTGGAGCAGTTTGGGCAGGAGGCCAATATGGCTGTCACATGGGATGATGATGTGCTTTGTGTTACTGAATATTCCCGTATTGTACCTTTGGAAAATGGTGAGGTAAGTAGATCTGAGAGGCTGTGAGGGATGAGTCTCAGAAATGAACACAAGGCTAGCAAATTTTCATAATCGTGAAACTTGAACTTTCAAAGAGATCTAGCATAGATCAAGATGGAAACCAAGGAGGGATCACATCGAGGACTGCCAGAAGAGTAGGGTTGAAATTTCTGTTTAGGGTCCTAAATTCTCCCCAGGAAGTCAGGATTTGGGACTCAGCGGCCACAAGTCTTGAACTCTCCTTTCTGGTGACATATTAGAAAGTGGATTTTTGATAACTAAAGTGATAATCCCTCCCCCTTCTTCCTACATTCTCCCCAGTGAGATTGAGGAGAGGAGGGGAAGGTGGCAGCATCGAACCCTCTTCCTTTTGGCAGAATGGGTATCATCTGTGGGGGAGCAAAAAATTGTTATCCCTTTGGGTTTGCATTTAACCCTTGTAAAGTCACCTGGCTATTTTTAAGAGAAATGGGCAAACAGGTGAAAAAAATCAGAGGAGATTTCCATGGAAATTGTGAGACCACAGTGAATTTTTTTGGCTGAGTTTTAAATAAACTTCTATCAAGGATGTCAGCCTCCCTGTCTTTAAGTAGAGAGATATTCCTTGAGCAACTATATCTGGTTTCTTCTCACAGTTGATGATTGATTCATATTTCAAATGCTTGAGACTTGGACTTCATCATCTAGGTTTTGTATAGATTTGTTTGTTTGTTTGTTTGATTGTTTTTGGTCCCCATCACTGTCAGCTTTATGTTCAGCAATATCCTTTTTTCAACCTCATGTAGAGTTTTGGATTACTTTAGCTTTGGTTCTTTGATGAGGCTTGACAAAGTTGTGTCCTTATGTTTATAGATTTTAACATTGTATTTTCAATATTTCATAGTACTATACTGATACAACAAAGGTTTTGAAAATGGGATGATAGTCGGGCTCGGGGCTCAGCCTGTAATCCCGCGCCTTGGGGAGGCTAATGTGAGTGGATTGCCTGAGCCCGTGGGTTCAAGACCCACCTGGGCAACTTGGCGAGACCTCATCTCTACAATAAATCAAAAATTAGCC